TTTTTTTAGTATTTAGTGCAGGGTCTCACTACAGATAAGACTTGTAGTGATCCTCCTGTTTTCAGCCTCAAGTGGTGGGATTACAGGCGCATGCCACCACACCCTGTCTCAGTGCTGCAGGGGCAGGGCTGGCATGGCTTGCCGGGGATTGAACCAGGTCCCTATGCCTATCTAAGCAGGCGTTTTAGTCCACTGAGGTTTGTGGCCCCCTTATAACTTGTCTTTATTCAAGATAAATTCATACATATACATTATGTGTGGTTTTTGGTTTTGTGAGACAGGGACTCACTATGTAATTTAGGCTGCAGCTCATGAGGGTCTTCCTGCTTCAGTTTTTGGAGTGCTGAAGCTATAGGCAGTCACCAGGCCTCGCTCTTTTCTCTTTAATACTTAAGTTTTGAAATCTCTTTATCCAATTTCTGCTCATAGCACTGTCATTTATTCTGTTTGAATTTTTTAGAGTTTATTTGTTTTGTTTGATTGGTTGTTTTGAGACAGTCTCACTATGTAGTACAAGCTGGCCTTGGACTTATTATGTAGCCCAAGCTGGTCTCAACTCTATTGAGATTCTCCTGAGTCATCCTGCAGAGAGCTGGGTTACAGGTACATGTTCCCATGCCTGCCTTGACTATTTTATTTATTTATTTATTTTTGGTGGAATAGGGATTGAACTCAGGCCCTTGCACTTGCCAGGGAAACACTTATTCTACTGAGCCATTTCCCTGGCCCCTAACTATTTTCTTTTCTTAGGGTTTGTTAGTGAATTTATTTGTTCATTATTCATCTTAAGTCTTTTTGACTATTGTATGGATAAGGTAGATTACCTACTTCTAGTTTGTCTCATTTGTCAATAAATAAAAAAAACATAAGCCAAGACACAAATACACATAGAAGACTTTCAGGTTGTGATTAGGTTCTGTGATAAAAAGAATGAAGCTGGGAGTGGTAGTCCATGCCTATAATCCTAGAACTAAAGAGGGTAAGGCAGGATCATGAGTCTGAGGCCAGCCTGGACTACATAGCAGATCCTGTCTCTGAAGGGTCAGGCATATAGCTCAGCAAACTAAAGTGCCTGCTTAGGTTCAATCCCCAGCATGCCACACTCGCCCCAGGCAGTGGCACCACACCTGTAATCCCAGTGCTTGGGAGGCTGAAAACAGGAGGATCACTATGAGTCCAATCTGTGTAGTAAGACCCTATAGACCCTGTACTCAATACAGGAAAGAAAAAGAATAAAAGTAAATCACTAGTTTCATGTGGGTCGTGTAGACCTGTAATCCCAGCATTCTGGGAGGCAGAGACAGGAACATAAAAAAGTTGGAGACCTGCTGGGCATGGTGGCACAGTAATCTCAGCACTTGGAGGCTGAGACAGGAGGATCACTTGGAGTGCAAGACCAGCCAGGGTTAAAAATGAGTTCAAAGCCAGCCTAAACTGCATAGCAAGACCCTGTCTCAAAAAGAAAAAGTTGGAATTTAGCAACTTAGTAAGACCCCCACCTCAGGCAATAAAAAGGCTCAATGATACAGCTCAGCCCAAGAGTCCTGGGTTCAAAGGACCAAACAAGAGGGGAAGCAGAAAACAGCTGAGTAGGCCAAAGTCTACTGGACGTGGGCGGTGGCCTGAAGGAAGGGAGGAGTTTCCAGGCCCTAGGCAGAGCGCTCACACCCACAGTGCAGACCTCAGTCGGCTCAGCACCAGCTCACTGTAGTTGCTGGAGCAAGGAAGAACAACCACACTGCCCATCATGAGGTCGTTAGCTTGAGAAGTCCAGGCAAGGTGTTGGGCTTTTAGGCAAATGTACTATGGAGGGCCAGGCTGAAGGCGCCAGAATGAAATCTTTCCAATTATATGTTCATCAGAAAGTTTTAGCCAGGCCAAGTGGCCCATGCCTATAATACTCCTGAGACTGAGGCAGGAGGATGGCCATGAGTTCAAGGCCAGCCTAGATTACCTTGTGAGTTCATGGCCAGCCTGAACTGCTTATACCTAGTAAGACCTTGTCTCAACAGGGTCTTGTCTCAACAAGGTCTCACTAATGCAGTTCAGGCTGGTCTTCAACTGATAATGACCTTTCTGCCTCAGCCTCCAGAAGGCTAGGATCATAGGTATGCAACACCACACCCAGGAAGGTTTTAAAGTCTCATTAAGTAGCCCAGCTGGCCTCAAACTTGGACTCCTGCCTCAGACTCTTGGTTGCTGGGATTACAGGTGTGTGCCATTTATTCCCAGCTTTGAGAGATCCTTGAACACAATTAGATCCTTTTTTAAAAAATGTATTTGGTACAGGGTCTCAATACGCAGCTCAGACTCCTAGTGCTTCTGTTTTCAGCCTCCCCAGCACTGGGATTATAGGCCCGTGCCACCACACAGGGTCTCGGTGTCCAAATCAGGTCTCTGAGCTTGCCTAAGCAGGCACTTAATCCACTGAGCTATCGTGCATGCAGTATATCCTTTAGTGACCTAGTCCTATAGCTTGTAGGTGCTGATGATTCTTGCCTGAGGCAACTTTACCCTGTGATTTCAAGCCTGCACACCTGAAAGGCAAACTCTTCTCTCACCCACAGGAATGACCACTCGATATCTGGAAAAACTCATTACCCTGAAGTTCAAATGAGCTAATCTGAAAAGCCTCATGCTTTTAATTCTTGTCTTCTGAGTTTAGACGTGGAGGACTTTACAGGACTTCCTTTGTGGCCGCAGCCTTCCTCGACTGAGCGGCAGCCCCTTCCAACAGCCCCTTCCCATCTCCACCACCCCTGCCCCATGGCACTGTCAGGGACCCTGACCTCCCTCCAGGAGGAGAGCTGCTGTCCCGTGTGCTTCGATTACTTCAAGGACCCGGTCACCACCGGATGCGGACACAACTTCTGCTGCGACTGCCTGAGTTCGTGCTGGGAGGGCCTGCCTGAGGATGGCACCTTCCCCTGCCCGGTCTGCCGCTTCGGCCTGCCCCGCACAAACGTCTACAGGAATCTGCAGCTCGGAAGCCTGGCCCAGGCGGCGCAGCAGCTGGAGGTACGGCGGAGCAGGCGGAAGCGGCTGTCTGAGCACTCGGTGTGCGAGCTGCACCAGCAGGCGCTGACGCAGTTCTGCCAGAATGACCTGGAGCTGCTGTGCACGCGCTGCAGCTTCGCCCCGAAGCACCTGAAGCACCACGTGAGCTCCATCGAGGAGGCCGCGCTGCAGCAGAGGCGGCAGCTGGAGCGCTCGGTGGAGCCGCTGCGCAGCGACCTGGAGCAGATGGAACGGCTGATCGAGCTGCAGAGCACCAAGACCCTGGAGCTGCGCAAGGCGGCCGCAGCCCGGCGGGAGGAGATCGAGGCGGAGTACGAGCAGCTGCGGCAGTTCCTGCAGGAGGAGCACCACGCCACCCTGCTGCGGATGGGCGAGGAAGAGGCGGAGATCCTCGGAGAGCTGAAGCAGCACCTCGCCTCCTTCTTCAACTACACGTCGGGCCTGAAGGGCCTGCTCAAGGAGGTGGAGGCTAAGAGCGCCTTCCCCGACCTGGCGCTGCTGCGGGCCCTCAAGGGCATTGAGGAGGAGCGGCAGCAGCTCCGGCGCCCCGAGCCCTCCGCCGTGGAGCTGAGCGGCTACGAGCTGAGGATCCCCGCGCAGCTCTCAGGCTTGGAGCGCCTCGTGCAGCACTTCCAGATCGACATGCTGTTCGACCCCAGCACTGCGCACCCGCAGCTCATCCTCTCCAGCGACAGGAAGATCGCGCACTTCGAGGCCATCCCGAGGAGGGTCTGCCACACACCCAGGAGGTTCTACCTGTGCCCAGCCGTCCTGGGCCAGCAGTGCTTCGACAGCGGCCGGCACTACTGGGAGGTGGAGGTGGGCACCAAGCCCAAGTGGGCCCTGGGCGCCTGCCAGGGCTCGCTGCCCCGCAACTGGCGCAACAAGCCGGACCGACGCAGGGGCTTCTGGGCCCTTGGGCGCTGCGAGGACAACGGCTACCTCATCTTCGGAGCCCAGAAAGCGCAGATCGTGCCCAAAGCGAGGCCCAGCAAGATCGGCATCTTTCTGGACTATGAGCTGGGTGAGATTTCATTCTACAACGCGGACGATAGGTCCGTGCTCTACACGTTCCACGACTGCTTCACCAAAACTGTGTGGCCTTATTTCTTCCTGGGACAAGATTCCAAGCCTCTTAGACTCTCCTCAGAGTCGGAGAGAGAGACATGAAGAACTTGTGCCTCCTGCGGTCGTAGGGCCAACCAGCCTGGGAACTTGGATGTGGTATCCGGGCGTTTTGTAAGTTTCACCACGCACCTAAAACTGGAAGAGGTTTTTTCATGCTGGTTTTTCAGCAACTATGAAAAACATTGTTATATCTGTCCCTTAGATGTGAAATCAGTCATTGAGTGATTTGAACGCTGGGGTACTTGGTTGAGAGGCTGAGTTCTGGCTGGCCGTGAACTCCCTTGGGCAGCCAAGACTTGTATTATGTCCAATGAATTGCTCTGGTGCTGCTGGGAACTGATTCCAGGACACTGTGCATGTGTGGCAAGTGCTCTACCGCTGAGCCATAGAAATGTATGTTATAGATTTGCTTTGATTTTTGTAAAGGCGGACTCCATGGTTCAGGCTGGCCTCAAACTTGGCAGGACCTTCCTGCCTCAGCCCCATGAGTGCTGGGATACAAGTGTGGGGCATCATGCCCAGCTCCAATAAAATATATATTTTTTAATTTATGTATTTGGTACAGGGTCTTGCTACACGGCTTGTACTCCTAGTGATGCTCCTGTTTCAGCCTCCCCAGCGCTGGGATTACAGGTGGTTTCGGGGATTAGTGCCTTGTTGGCATTCATAATTAGCTGGCAACAGTGTATATATAGTCTCATTGCCTCATGATTTTTCGTAAATAAAAGTTTTAAACACCTGATGGCTGTTTACGTTCACAAAAACACAATTAGACTAATTAATGGTGGCTTCAAGCTTTTCCTTATTAGCACCACCACCTCACCCTTTTTAAAAAACTGAAAGGTTGGCACACAGTAGACTTGGCAGCTTGTAGTGACATCTGACAGTTGTGCATATGTACTCCAAGGAATGACACACAAACATTTTTCAGATAGGGAATGGAAAGGCTTGATCTTTCACAAGGCCTGCAGCACACGGCTGAGCACCCCAGCTCCTACAAGTGTGTCTCCCACACCTACACCAGCCTAGCTTTGCTAAAAAGCCTCTGCTCATGTGCTATACCGGTTTGGCTGCTGGGACTCTGATGAGCTCTCTACAATCGATGGGAGTGGGTTCCAGGTATCAGACCTAGCTGCCAGGAAAAAAAAGGGGGGGGCGTGGAGAGGTGCTGAGGGCCTGGCTTCAAACTTGCAGTGATCCTCCTGCCTCAGCCTTGCAAGTGCTGGGAGTAGAGGCATATGCCACCACATTGAACCTAAAATATACACACATTTTTAATTTTTTCCTACTAAAATGTGTGTGTGTGTGTGTGTGTGTGTGTGTGTGTGTGTGTCTCAGCCTGCTCTTTGGGGCAGGGCTGGCACAGCATGTGGTATTAGAGATCAAACCACAGTCCCTG